GAATTTTAACTAAGCTCATGCTATGAGAAGAACTTCATGAACTTTGTATTAAAAACATTTGTTTAACCATTAATTGGAAACTATGTAGAACATGTAGACTGCAGCCCCCTTTATTTGAAAAACTAGATACTATGTGGGAGAATTTCATTATGCAATTTTTGCTGGTGTCTCATCTAATAAAAGAAGCAGAGAGAACACCTGGATTTTTTTCTCTATCTCTAATATTTGGACAACTCAAAGCATTGCAGAAGTCTTTGAAATGGCATTTTTCTTTGTTGACTAAGTCTCTTTCACCCACCAATACCTGCTAATGACTTGATTTTTGAAGTGGTCTTTGCAAGGACCTTCCTAATAAGAAGTTTTCTACCTTCAGTGCAGTGGAAACTGCCCTGCTAAATGACAACTCCTTGGAAAAATAAGGAGAGCAACCTTTGAGTTACAGAGGACTAACTGCTTTGTAATATTTACCAGTCCTTTTCTGAAAGAAGGAAAACACTGCACTTGGTGTTAGTATCAGTGAAGAGATTTCCCATCGAGGTGTTAGCCTAAATATTTTTGGGTAAACTCTTTATACGCTGTAAAGAACATCACAAATTTCAGGTGCAGTTATAATTTATTTTATTGTAAAATAGAGGCTTAGCTACCCCCTTCTTTTTTAAAATATTGAAAGGGGATCACGAGAAAGAAATGCTTCCATTAAGAATGCTGGTCAGTGGTTGTCAGTTTAGGACATTCTTCACTGTCAAATCCTGTTTCTCACTTCTTTGATATGAACATCAGCTGACAGGCACTGAATGCAAAGCCTTCTTCATTGAGGTTTTATGCAGGCAACATAGCCCCTCATAGCAAAGCAGTCTGAAAAATTGGCACCTGCACGATTTGCATGTGAAAAAAAACCAAGTCAGTTGCATTTTGCTGGAGTTGATTACTGTAAGTTATGTAAGAGGGAAAGGCTATTTGTTTGTTGCTGTTTGGGCATTTAAAGTTTCCTTATTTTGTGGATACCTTATTCATTATATTGTGATCTTTGGTCTTTATTGATAGCAAAACCAGGGCGAATTGAGCTTTTGTCTTGTAGAAGTTATTTATTATGGAATGGAGTAATTTTAATCCACAAGCTTACAAATGTCATTTAGATTCAGTTAAAAATTTAAAATGTAACTTGGAAGAAGGTTTTGAGAGTAATCTATTAAAAGTTAAGTAAATGTGTACAGCTGGGCTAACGGGAGTATCACTTGACAAACAGTCTAGGATTTTAATAGTTATAGATCTCAGTACCAATTCAAAAGCCCCAAGAATATAGACAAACATTTCAAACTTCTAAACGGGGGGTGGGGGGGGGGGCTATTTCTCCTTGTTTTACTTGTTAAACTGTCACCTATATGACCTTTCCAAAATTATATCTGACCCTCTTTATATAAACCAACAAGTAAATGTTAAATCAGCTACAAAACCCTTTGTGAACCTCAGACTATTATCCATCAAAGAAGACATTTTATCCAGTGTAAGCTATTTAGTATTATCTAAAGAGACACCTTCCAATTTCACCTTTTTACAGCCATTAATATAAGAGTTCCTAAATTGTGTTTAAAGAACAGTGAACATTTTATTAAAGCAAACATTAGTTCAGTTTAATGGAGGTAATTGTAAATGATAAGACAGAACAGGTTATCTCTGTGTTGTTTAAACAGAAGGAACTACTTTGCACCATTTCCAGCAGCCATCTGTAGAAGAGAAGGGGTTGCACCTGTCTGTCCACACTAATTATAGATTAAGGCCAAAAGAAATGAAATTCGAGGAGGTTTTCAGCTAATGCAATCCATACACTTTATTGTGAATGTGTTCTATATAAAGAGGATGGCGGTTGAGTTGTGAGTAAATAAATTGCTGTGTAGCTGCTGGACACTTTGTCTTGGAGCACAATCCTGCTGCATTAACCTCTGATATTAAACACAAAATAGAGACGGCTACTTGAACATGGGTGGTAGCCTTTGTTTGGCATCCATAGTTACAAGTTAGTGAGCAGTAGTGGGTGCAGCAGCTCAGAAATGTGCGATAAAGCAGCTTACATGCCAGAAATGTTTTCATATTCGGAAATGCGGTTGAAGGGAGATCCTGTGTTAATTTATGCATAGGAAGAGGGATTTTTAAAATTATTTTTTGTAAATTAGAAAGCTTTTTTTCTTTTTCTGCACTTCCAGCTTCACATCCATGAGAAATTAAAGCAAAATGAGTGAAGAATGCATCCTTCAATGAAAGGTCACACGAATGTCTACCACATCTGTTTATAGTAATTATGAACATAATTAACATAAGAATTACAAATGAAATAATGACAAGCTGAGCAATGAGATATTATGCTATAATGGTCATATGTTGGAATTCTCACATTATAGCACACTAGACTTCACATACTCAAAGAAAGAAAGAAAATGCTAGATTTTTATCTGAGTTAGTGTTTCAAAACTTATCTGCCTGGGGCAGATGGACTTCTTGCTTTTACAAGAAGGTAACCCATTATTAAGAAAAGAACTCATTGCAATTAAAATTTCCATTGAGCTTGGTTGTTAAGTTGTCTGTAATTATAGGTACCATTTTCTGTTGGATTCTCAGTCCCTGATAAAAAATTCTTGATTACTCTGTTGCTTTGGTTTTTGCTTTGACTTTCTTGAAACAAGATCTTATTTTGTAGCCCAGGCTGGCCTAGAACTTACTACAGACCTTCAGGCTGGTTTGGAACTCAGAGTGATCCTGCATCAGTCTCCTGAGTGCCCAGTTGGGGGAAAGGGAGGTCACTACACTGAGCTTGTTTTTGTTTTTGTTTTAATTGAAAGCTTTGGAAGCAAATACTTGGTTTAGAAGTGTCATGGAGCCCGAAGGCAGTACACAGAGTGGTAGAAACACTGTACTTTCACAAAACAAGAACATCTGTACTTTAGCTGATCTGCAGTCTTCTTTGTGCCTAGTCTTCAGGATACCTCTTAGAGAAAAACATGTGTGTTCAGAGGTTAAAAGCAGTAATTAGAACTTCTTTTTCATTTTTTGCATGTGTTAATTTTATAAAAATAACAGGTTTCATTGTTGCATTTCTGTGCCTATGTATCTAGTGCATTTTTGTTAGTACATTGTAACAAACCATGTAATGGGGGAAAATCAGTGAGCCTTTGTATATTGATTTTTTTTCCTTTTTCCTGAGTTGCATTGGATGTCCAGATGTTTGTATATAGTCTGTGCCCAAAAATAATGCAGTTGCAGTGGCTGCTGCTTGCTGGTGTGAGTGCAGTTCTCTATCATAGTTTGAGAAAAGGTGAGAGGATATTCTGAAAATCTATGATTAAATTTAAAACATGGAGGGGTGACAGATTTTTCACCCATTCAGAGCTCCCTTGCCTCTGTCATGTAGCTTGGCAAGTAGTTTACTTCCTGCCCCTGTACCCTTCTCTAACCACCGAACCTGGTCACTTTTTGAAGATTTATGGAGAAATATCACCTTGTTCTTGTGCAGTGATACTGGGAGGCTTTCCACATTATTGGATTACTGGAGGATTGTAGCAGAACCCCTTTTATCTGGCATTCATTCTATGACAAGATTTTCACACATGCCCTTCCCCCAGCATGCGCAGTTTTCCACACTTTGTGTTACCTATCAAATTTCGCTTGATTCTTTTCTTGGGGTGGGAGGATGAGTGTGTGTGTGTGTGTGTGTGTGTGTGTGTGTGTGTGTGTGTGTGTGTAGTGTGGGCACATTGCACATAAGACCAGTTTTGTTGTTTTAGGGTAGGTGGTTTGCAAAGTACTTGATGAAACAAAGCCCCTGTTAAAATATGCCTCCTGCTCTTCTCTTTCTCAACTCACTGCCCTCCCTCCACCCCACCCCACCCCCGTTGTTCCTGCCCCCTTTCATTGCCTTCTACTGACTTTTTATATATAAACTATTTCATGACTCCAAGTTTCACAGCAGCTGTGGCTGCAGTGTGTGCCATGGCATTCTGTGGTTTATTGAACTATGTCTCCACAGTGCACGAAAGGCTTTTTAACCAAGCTAGAAACGCAACACAGGGGCCTAGAAACACAACACATCCAAACACTCCCCCCCCCCCCCAAGAAGACCTCCTTTGCTGCATTATCTGCACTCCATTAAGGACCTGATCAGATGTTCAGATTGTCTGATAGGTGCATTTAAAAGTGAAAAGGGGCTCCCTAGGGACTACTCAGGTGTATCCCCCTCCTGACCCTGCTGGGGTGGAGGAGGATGAACTCTGGCCGGCTGGCAGAGCGTTAGCCCCTGCTTGTTCTGATTGATTCTCGGGCTCTGGGTGGGTGAGGAGCTGCGAGGCAAGATTGATTGCCTCAATTTCGAATTCCCACCTCCCAAACAGACTCTCAGATGTCCACAGAAGGAAGCTCCTACCCCAACCCGACTTCTGGAGGTGGCGCAGGTGTCTGAGTCACCTGTAGCCACCAATCACACGTGGTCCTCCTTATCACAATGACGCTGGCTGCCCTGCATTTTCAGCTAGGACACATTCTCAAAGCTCGAAGAGGGCGGGTCGGGGGGGGGGCGAAGTTGTATCTCTCAACCCCCCTTGCATCTATGTGTGGGGGTGAGTGGGGGGGGCTGGGTTTTAGTATATGGGGTCAAAATGGAAAGAGACAGCTCCCACGGGAGGTCGTCCTGGTAGACTGCAGAACTGTTGTGTCCCGCACAGTAGATTTGTTTTGCAAATTATGTGTCTTTAGAAGGAGGTGAGGTGGTGAAGGTTTCACTGTCAAAACCACCAAGAGAGAGCTCTTGATCCCGCTGACCTTGACAGAACCTCTAGTGTTAGTGGAGTCACAGGGCTAGCAAATCCAAATATTTGGGAGGTGGGGCTGATTCAGGGGCACGGTTAACCTGCAGCCTTGATTGCCTCCGCCTCCCAGCCTCTCTGGGTAACTGTCCTCTCGCTCTGACCCCATCCCAAGCCGGTCCCCGCCCCTGAATCCCTTCCCTGTTTCCCCCCTCCTGCCTGCATCTCTTCCCTCCCTCTCTTCCCTCTCTCTCCCACTTTTCCTCCCTCTCCCCTCCGTCTCGCACGCACCCTCTGTTTATTTTCCTGCCTCCATCTGGGCCCTGCTGATATTGTAATCACCCTGATGCACGTTGGCTCCTCTCCTCTCCCTCCCGCGCGCACACACTCACTCACACACAATGTGCCATCCCGACCAGCCCTTTACTTCTGATAAGCTCCGATGTGTGTTTAATGAATACAAAGCGGCGGTGTGGGGGCCGCGCGGCCGGCCGCCTCGCGCGCTCGCCGCCGGAAGGTAATCTCCGCGGCCGGGCTGGGGGCGGCGGGGCGGGGCGCGGCGTGGGGGCGGCCCCCCAACGATCCGGAGCTGATAAGAGCCAGGGAAGTGAAGATGTAACCTGTTATCGGGAGCTCCTCTTAGCTGCCAGAGGGAATTTACATTTAAAGATTACAGAGGGAGAGGGAGAGGATCTGCCTTTTGTTGTGCTGGTTGAGGAGGAGGCAGCGGCCCTGGCCTCCCGGCTATCTCCCATCACCTCTGCTATCCAGACCCGGACTCGCGGAGGTGAGATTACCGAGGGCCTTATCTTTAATTGCGTTTAGTGTTACCAGTCTGAATAGGTTTAAAGAGACTCGATAAAGGGGGAACAATAGATTATTTGTTGATCGGACGCTGGAGCTCTCAGATGTAAAAGAGAGAGGAAAAACTCTTAACAACTTGATTAGCTCTATTTTATTTTGATTTTGAGGTGACAGGGTCTCTCTTGGTAAAAAGAGGAAGGACTAGGGAACTTTGTGCGATTTGAATGACTTAAAATGTTTTATTCCAGCACTTCTGCACCTGTTTTATTTTAAAGGTGCTGCCTCACCTTTTCTCTTTAGGGTTGATAAAGAGAGGCTTTCCGCTATTTGGACATCTATGTTTGGTTTTGCGTGGCTTGTTTTGAACAGGTGATGAATTGATGCTTTGGGTCCCGGAAAGAGCCTGAAAAACTAATGAAGCCCACTTTTAATATGGAAGGAAGAGAATGGTAGATTATGGTTCAACTCTGGCTAGAAGGACGAGCATCAGTCTAGGTCTGGTAGAAATACTAACTATATTTTGTATTTGAACCATACTATCTTTTGCTTGAAGTCAGTGTGGGAAAAAAATGAAGCAAATTGTTACTTAACTTACGAGTGTATTTCAAAATTTTATAATATAAACTTTAGAAGGTTCTTAGAATGAATAAAAGAAGACAAAATGATTGCTTCTACCTCCTACTCATTGTTGAGATAGGTATTTTCATAGGTAGGTAGATATGAGCCAGTGACTAAAAGCCTAATTAAAATTTGTTTAAAGCCAGAGGGACATGTTTCCTTGTTGACAGCAGCAGATCGATGGGGGAAGACAATAAGTTCCATTATTTTACTTCCATTGACTGAACATATTGACATTGCAGGTTTGCTGTTGCCTCAGTGACCATGACAAAACACTGAAATTCACTGGCCGACTGGTCAGAGCGGCACCTAGATTACTGAGTGTCTTTCTGTCGTATCACCCAGGCAGAAGAGAAAAGGCTAGCCTCTGGTCCTTCAGAAGGAGGGAAGTCTTTCTGGTTTAGGAACTGTCAGATGGCATGTTTTGGGATATCAGTCATTTTTTTTTTCAGAACTGAATATTACATAGAAATGTATGGTTATTCAAAATCTGAGGAAGCAACTTAGCAATCTTGAGTATTTACATACAGGAACACCCATTTTCAAGATTTCCTTTTTCCTTGCCTGAAGATATTTACAGCAGGTGGCCAGCTTGTGTTTGGGTGATACCCATTTTGTTTAAGTCTAGGGTACTCAAGCAGCTAAGCCTATGTCTTAGAAAACAGTGTTTAGAGTCTCTCCGGACACAGGGACTAACTGACTGCTCTGTAGTTTCTTTGGTGGACAAAACAAGGAATGAATGAGATGTGACTCCCCCATGTTTAGGTGTGACCATAAACAGTGATGTGGATTTTCTATGGTTTTCAAGGAGATGCCAACAAAATATAATGCTGTCCTGTATTGTCTGGCGTTTTACACACTTTGCATACTCTTTACATAATAAAATCAAGTATTAGGTAGACACTGAGTACAAGAAATTTGAACCACACCACAGTAGATATGGAATAAAGCCAGAAGAGACTAAACATAGTTTTTTAAAAGTTTAATGACCATGACTTATACATAGTACACAGTGACTATTGCCACCAAGCAGCGAACTGATGCCCTTTGCGGTGTTTTAGAACAAAACTAGTCTTTTAGACCATTTTCATGAAAATGTTAGGTTTCCATTTGATCAGCAGGTGCTGTGGAGATGAAAGCCATGTGTAAATTTTCAGCAGGCTAAAAGTGTCAATTCAGAAAAGGAAAGTGATAGGAGAAAAAGCAATCAGTTTTCCTGTTTTCAATTTGTGCAGGATTTGAAGAGCTGTTTTGTTGAACTGCTACATCTGCTCCAATATGAATATTGAACTACTTCCACTAAAAATAACAACCTATAATTTGGAAGCTACTGCAAGCCTTTTGTTAATGCGAGTGGGTTATTTAAAAACAAAACAAAATAAAAAATAAAAATAAAAAAAGAGACAATTTTCTATTCTGACAGTCTCTTGCCTGATGTGCATTTTTGTTTGCTGGTTCTTTCATCCTCAGAAGATAAATGATGCTGTGCACTTAGGGCCTCATCTTGTTTTGGCTATGAAAAGAGGTTCCTGTAGGTGAAAATCCTGGTAATAGAAAAAGGCATCCCATGAAACAAAATGTAGTTCAAAGTAATCATTTAAAGCATGTGTATTTACGATGAGGTGCTTATTCCTTACATTCTCTAATAGTCTAATTTTTTAACTTACCGGCTACTACTGTGAGAAAGTTAACACTATTCCATTGCGTACAGAGCTCTCTGTGGTGTAGTCCACCTTTAATATACCTCCAAATGTAAGTTTAAACTAATCAGGGATATTTTACCTAACAGGGCTTTCAAATAATTTTTTTCATGCTTAAATAAAATGATTAAATTATGCTTGAGTGCCTGCATACAAAGGCTTTGGCCTCTGTAGTACTGCTAATCAAATAAGTTTTATGGACCACATGAGAGGAAAAATTGGATGCATTTTACTGGTGACATTTCTAAGAAAGACATGTTCTTTAAGTACATCTAGTATTAATTAAAAAGAAAAGTCCAGAATATATTTAAAAGAATCATAATTTTAAAAAATTCCTCCTCCATATAATAAAAATGATCCGTGACATTATCTACATGTAATATAGGCATAGACACTGCAGGTAGAAGAAGACAAGTGGGTAAGGTTACATATTGATTCAGGGATTGATTGCACTTGGTTTGACTTGTGGCTGAAGTCGTTTGTCCAGGGTGAGACCTGATCACTGCCAAGGATCAATTAGCTGTGTAGCTTGTGGCTTCACACTTGAGTGGCTAGACACATTCTTCACAGATAAACTCAGAAGAGCTCAGGAAAGGATAAAGGGATGACAGATACTGTGACACATGAACATGTTGATTTGCACATGCAGTATTTCCGTTGATATTTATAAATGTCGAAGTTCTTTAGAAACTTCAGCTAGCAAAAAGAAGTGGTTTCACAACACATCTGAAGGTGTTATTGAATGAGTGACTGTGTGTATACAATCAGACAAAGAGTATTATCTTAAGGAGTGTCACTTCCAATCTGAAGCCCAATGAACAGTCCAGGATTGGGATGTTCTGGCACATCATCAAGTAAGTTTAGTACCATATGAGTATGTTCCTTGGTACAGGTATTTTGCCACTTTCAAGGAAAGAGCCTGAGCCAAGCATGCTGGTTTATACCTGTAATCTCAGGATTTGGAGGTAGGAGGATTAAAAGTTCAGAGTCATCCTTGGCTGCAAAGTCTGAAACTGTCTTATAACCCTTCCTCTGAAAGAGGGAGAAGGAGGGGAAGTGAGAAAGAGACTGAGAGGGAGAGGGGAAGTAAGAGGAAGACTGAAAGGGAAAGGGAGAGGGAGAGAGAAATGACACAGAGAGGGGAGAGAGAGAGAGAGAAAGAGAGAGAGAGAGAGAGAGAGAGAGAGAGAGAGAGAGAGAGAACAAGAATGAGAAAGATAGAGGGTATATCAAAAAGCTTATTCACAAACACACTCCAGTTGGTTAGAATATTTTGTGCCAAAGCCACAGTACTTTATGCCACAAAAGAGAAGAGTTTCCTGGGCCTTTTCAGAGTTTAGGAATGATGCCAGGCTCTTATATCAGAACCACTGCCAAAGTCATGTTCCATGGTTGAAGTTTACGCCATGGTGCTTTTTTGTTTGGAAAAAGTTCTAAACCATTTACGTTGCTTAAAACCAGTAAAATTTTCAGTGACAGACAGACAGGCATAAAATTCTCTTCTCTGAGCCTGGAGATGTAGCTCAATAGGTAGAGTGCTTACTTAGCTACAGGGTACCCTAGATTTTATCCCCAGTATAGACTGGGTGTGGAATACCTACACTGTAGTTTAAATTTGTCACATTTTGTGTATTATAACTCATAACACATGAAGGAATGACAAAATTGTTTGCTTTTTTTGGATGTTGTTTTGGCCAAAGTCTCAAGACAAATGAATATTTGGGTGAATAGAGAAGGCCTATAGAATATAGATATTGCAAAAGAGAAATATAAAGAACACAAATGTAAATTTACCAATGAGCCTCCACATCTAAACAGTGTAAGTGTCTTGGAAAAAGTGATTGATTGGCCTCATTAATTTTTTAATATCTGGTGCAAAGACTACTTTAGAGTGAGCTCTGAGGCTTCAGAGACTGCTACATAGTTGCATTGGGATAAAGGTAAATAATCAACAGATGACAGAGACTTACTTTTTCTTGCCTAACTTTCACATACGTTTTCATTGTAGACTCAAAGTGAATGATTAACTAGCTTCTCAATTTCTTCCTGTCAGAGAACTCCAACCTCTGGCTCAGACTAGCCACAGCTGCTCCTCTGCCTTTACTTTTGACCATACTTTATTTATTTAAATTAATTAGTTAGTTAATTAATTAATTTGCTTAATCAAGTTTTCATTATACAGCTCTGGCTGTTCTGAAACTCACTATATAGTTCAAAATGGCCTTGAACTCACAAGAACTAGGCTATCAGAGCCATCCTGGACATTAGGTGGCTGTATGGAGTGTTAGTCACTACCTTCCCCCTTTCAGGGGCAATAAAAGGAGAATAGAACAGTTTATGCAGTGAGGAGGGACTTCTGTCAAAGGGAAATAGGTTTCATGCTTTTCCTTCACAGTCACTGGGCAAGATCTGCCTGCCTCTGCCTCCCACGTGCTAAGATTAAAGGTGTACCTTACTGTGCTCCTCTTTGACTTGGAGTTTTACAACTGAGGTTTCCCTATGTTCCCCAAACTGACCTATTTTGTGTGGAGTTCTGATAATTAGGAGCTTATTCCCTGAATGCCAGCCTTGGAGATCTCTTTAGCAGACACTGTTTTCTTTTATTTAATCCACCTTGTATCACACTGAGGAGGAGGCAACTGCTCCCTGCTAACACATCCCTGGA